GGGTGTGCATGCAGGACTGCTGTTCTGGCAAACCTAATGTCGGTGCTATTGGCTCACAGTCTTGTTTGTGGTTCTATAAAAAACAGTCAGTGTGTAAATATATACATAAAGTGTTATCTAATAGGCAGTAGTTGATGTTATATGTAATTAATGTAATATACTTCTGCATGTTGGACAAGACTTGTGGTCCAGAAGTCTGTTAAGTATTATGATTTATGCTACGCTGCATAGTGCTCTCCACTCTTAGGTAGGGCCTATGGAATAGCAGGAGAAGGGAAAAGGCTATTGTTTAGCAATTGCTGTCTAGGGGGTAGTTGAGGGAAATGTAAATTATTATAATTACATATGTGAATGTTTTCAAGGTTGCCTAAAAACCACAGCTTCAGAAGAATAGAGCTGGGTAATAATTCTGAAGAGAGCTAAATCCATCCTGAAAAATGCTGTTTTGGAACAGACTAGGATTATTTCAGGTGGAAATCAGGAATGGGAGGAAAGAAAAATGGAAGTCAAAGCCCTTTCTGTTCTCCATGGGCAAGTGGCCCCCTTAAAACAAACAACCCTTCCCTCCCAACCCTGCAACAAAACAAAAAGCAATACCAAAAACCCACCAACATTACAACACAACCAAAAAGATTAAATAAAACACCCTACAAGACAACAGGGAACGCACACACAAAAAAACCCAAAACAACAACAACATAACCCCAACCCTACAAGAAAAAATACCCCCAAAATTCAAAGCACAACATCAAAGCCCTGCTACAAAACCCTAAACTAAAGAAACAAACAGAAAAAAAAAACCACTGAATATTTTGGGCCCACTTAAGGTCACCAGCCAACAAAGTGAAACTGTGGTGTCTGCAGCTGTCTGGTGGGACAAAGTGAAGTGAATGAGCATTTTTCCTTGGCAGAGGCCTCACCACCTTGATCAGAAATCCCTATGAGGTTGCAGCTCATGGTTGCAGGCTCTTCCCCTCTTCTAGCTTTGTACCACAGTGTATCTGCATGGGTCCATTGAGTATCAGTAGGTTATTGTAGGATGGAAACAGCATCATAGAGTCATAGGATCACCAAGGTTGGAGGAGATCATCCAGTCCCATGTCCACCTATGATCAGTAGTTCTCCACGTCCCTCAGCACAACGTCTAAAGTTCATCTCTTTTCTCCATTGTTACCAAATATGTACTGCATGTATCTCACCCAACAACCCATCCCTTCAGCCTGGACATGGTGAACTTCTGCTCCCAGGTGACAGAGATAGGATGAGAGGTGGTGGCCTCAATCTGTGCCAAGGGAGGGTCAGGTTGGATACTCTTCCTGAAAGGATGGCACTTGGGGAGATGGGCGGTGAGGATGGGTTGAGGGTGGACTTGATGACCTTAGATGTCTTCCAGTGATTCTCTGATTTGCCATTCCTTGCCTGACGCGTGACACTGGGACACACGTGTTCCCTCTTTGCTTTGGTCCAGCCACATGAAATGAAGGCTGCTGGACTCTGGGGACCCCAGACTTCTACTCCTTGGGGTGGGTATGGCACGGTTGAGAAAGGTTTGCCACCTTGAAGCTAGCTTGGCATAAAACGCGGTGAATCCCTCAATAAATAGGACTTTCTGTGTTTGCTGTTAACATGTGCCTGGAATCAAACTGGAGTTCAGAGAAGCAGTGATAAGAGCTCATTTTAAGAGGAAAGATTTAAAGTACAACACCCTGCTCTCGGATCATCTGCTCCAGGGCCTTTGATTAATGGCAGGGAGAGGAGCAGGGACCTGATAATGGTTTAACAATAGTGAAGATGTCAGCACTGAGGAGGGTAATGCATTTCTTAACGTGGTCTAATTAGGTTATAATGATGAGGTAATAGGATGAGATGAAGAAGATCATTTAGACCATCAGCAAAATCTACTTGGCTTGGAAGTGTCCTTGGGGTGTGTGCGGAAGCCACGTTGGCTGCAGCTTTTAATAGTAAAACAGACAGGGTAATTAAAGCTTTAATTAAGGCTAATGTATTGTCTGAAAGACTGAAGAGGTGGTCCAGCAGGTCTCTGGGCTCTGATTATTATTATTATTTTTTAAAGCAGGGGATTACTGCAGGCAATTGGTGGAAATTTATTCTGCTTCTTTCAGGGTGAGTTCATTCTGTATTCTTTTTATTTTCGCTCTCAGCTCTTTTCCAGGTGCAAATGTTTGAGACAATCCTAGCACAAAAGCGTGCACTCATTTTGGGTGACAAATGCAATCAAAAATCTGAACTTTGATTTCAGCACCATCCAACGGAGGGGGGAAAAACACAAAGAGCCATCATCTCAACTCCTCCCAAGATCCAGATGGCAGCATCCCTTTACTCTTGGTGGGGAAGTTGTCGTAAGAGGAACGACTCTAATTCTTTCCTGAAAGGCCAACGATGCCAAGGTCGGAGAGAGAACCCTGTGGGGTCTGAGGATTGGATGCAGTGAGTGGTTGGGCGCCCATGCATTTTACATCCCCTTTCTTTTGGCAGTGCCTTTGTGCAGTCGGACAGGTGCATTGTATTTCTAACATATTTTTTGCATTATCTGCTGGGGTAGCTTCAACTTATCACTGAGATTCATAGGAACGGGATGGCTTTTGCAAGGGAGTTTCTGGATGGAACGCATTAGCTGCAGACTGGGGTTACTGCCAGTGGCCTCCCTGTGAACTTGTAATCCTGGCCTTTGAGTAACAACTGTGAAAAATCAATGACGAGCGCTTCCATTTTTCATGCTGCCGCTGCTGGCTTGCAGGGCCCGTTTTTCTCTTCCCTCTTTCTCTTTTTTTGTTTTCTCAGTGGCGAGGAAAGGAGCAAGGCTCAGGAATTAGACAGCAAGCAGTCACTGAGATGACACACAGCTGGGGTTCCCCTTCGAAGGCTCTTTTAAAGTCGTGTTATGCTGGAGGAGTCCCTCTGAGCTCCTGCAGTACCCATGACCATGCAGTCCCAAAGCAGTGATAATCTGGAATGACCTGGATTGGAAGTTAATGCAATTGGCCTAGAATTACAGCTTCTGAAGGGTGAGAGGGATTTGGGTTGGCTGGCTGAATTTTTGCCAGGTCAGCTCTCGGTGTTCCAGTGCAATTCCAAAAGTGGTTTCTTGTGCTTGCACTGGTGGTAGGTGGATGGTTGGACTGGGTGACCTTGGAGGTCTTTTCCAACCTTGGGGATTCTATGATTCTGTGCTCTTAAGCCTCAACACTGGCTAGGTCCTGATTTGAGGTTAGATCCATGCTTAGAACAAAAGACGTTCCCAGCGTGGATTAGCAGGTAGTTCATAGGGGGAGGAGCTGGGAGAATTTAAACCTACTTGCTGCTGGTAAAAGCACACTTAAAATAGCGCTGTGTTCCCACGAGAAGGAAGCACCCCTCCTTAGAGACTGCTGGCAACCTCAGAGGTAGCTCTGTGTCTCCATCTGCTGATGGAGAGCACCCTTGGATGGTGCCTGGAGGCTGTGCCTCCAACAGCAGAAGACTCTCGGATGGTGCCTTGAGGCTTTGACTGTTGTCAATGTAAGAAAGTTACCTTGCTCCCCCTGCTTCATGATCTGGCCCCTTCTTTGCCAAGTAACAAGCAAAACAGTCAATGTATTTCAGCCTTAAAGATGATTGAGGGACTGGCACATAGATTATATAGCTATAAAATGAGATCATCCCATCAAGATTTTCTGTGGTTCAGAAAAGTTCAACGAACTTTTCTTGCTCAGTCTTCCCCTTTCCCCCCCACCTCCTGTTTTGTGGCTTCTTTGGTGTTTCCTGGCTCCAGCTGAGATCAAAAGCAGAAGAGCAGGGTATTGTAAGAATGGCTATTTTAGCAGAACCCACTGTGCCTGCAGAAAGGTTTGGTTTTGTAAATGTCAGTCAATCCTTTTCCCAGCTCAAAATCAAAAGCAGGAATGTTTTGGAGCAAGTGATGCTTATACTAGACTGTTGTTTGGGGAAGGCACAAGAATGCAACAAAGTCGTATTGCTCACTGATGAACTTGTATTAGACTGGGGGAACGTTGAGTTAATCTGTTCCAGACTGACTGAAACAACATGCTTGCAGGGTAGGGTATCTCTCCTCTCAGTTCTAGAGGCACTGAGGGACCTGTGGGTACCTGACCCATCTGAATGCAGAGTCTGGAATGAGACACCCTGACAGTTTCTCTTTGCAGTTATGTGAAGGGGGTCTGAAAACTGAACTTGGATGCGCAGGTCTCCACACTGCTAGTAGGAATCTGCTGACTAAGCAGCAGAGGTGAAGATATGGACCACGAGGAATGTCAGCTGAATGTCCGTAACAACAGAAAGCAGTGCAGATTATCAAGCAGGGACGTGACACAGATCCCACCCCCACTTTAATGGCAAAGTCCGTGTTGCGCTCAGTGTGCAGCTGGAAGACCATCTCTGGAGGGATTTCTGTGGGATGGGGAAGAACTGAAATGCATTTCAAACTCGCTTTGGCCTTTGAGTTTTCTCCCTGTTGGACATTCAACCCTTCTTCAGCTGAAGTGATGGGTATGCTAATGCCAAGGGTTGGGCAGGCTGAAGAAGGCAGGAAGCCCTTTCTGCAGGGCAGTGTTGCTGGGGCTGATGCCTTCTTGGGATTTATTTATGCTAGAGTTGCTCAGAAATACTGTAATGCACAGACTGTCTTGTCAGATAATTTAATTCTGTCTTACATGCTATGTGGAGTTGTTGATTTCTGTGGCTTCTAATCTCCAAAACTTTGGAGTCAGCTTTCTGAATGGAATGTTGTGTCTTTTTCCCTATGCACTTACTGCTTTTAATTTTGTTATGAATGATGTTAAACACTAATTTAAATATCTTTAGCTTTTGTGTCCTAGAGACACTGTGGAGAAGCACATCTGCTCCAAAGTTTCCTTATCTATTGCCAAAGTACCTCCTTAGCAATAAGAACTACTGCTATTCATGCAGAGATGAGATTTAGCCCTGCTGGTGGATTCACCCTTGTCTCCTTCAACCTAAATTAAATGTTTGTAAGCGACATCTCCAGTCCAGACAAGTGTTAATTTGGGATTTCCATGATGATCTGAGGGATACATGGGTATGAGAGAGCTTGCAGGGAAGAGCATTGGTTCGATTTATCAGGATGAATCAGTTGTGTGGGCTGTTCCCATGGGTGAAGACAAAGCCACATTTCTGAGGAATGGCAGATAACCTGGTCGTCCATCTCAGGATGGAAGGAACAGTGCTGGGGGCGTGTGTCTTCTGCTCTCCTGAGGGCCATGAAGGTGACAGGCATGGAGGCTGGAATCCAGGGCAGGTGGGTATCCCAGAAATGCCAAGCACTCCACCAGATGCGGCATACAGAGGAACCACTTGTTCCCACTGGCTGCCCATTTTGCCATAGGCTTGAAGGGTTTCTGCTTTGTGTCAGGACCATTCCCCATCTCAGGACTGACTGTTTCTCGAGGGCTGTTGTGCCTGTGGTTCATAGAACCATAAAATCATCGAGGTTGGGAAAGATCTCCAAGATCATCCAGTCCAATCGTCCACCCACCACCAATATTTCCCCACTAAACCATGTTCCTTAGTTCCATCTACATGTTTCTTGAACACAAACAGCTGCAGACCATCCTGTTGCACATCCTGGAGTAGGGAGGATGCTACAAGGATGGGAGCGCGAAGCGTCATCCTAGCAGCACATCACACCCAAACTGTATTTGTTCATGTTGAGTAATTCTTTCCCTCCACTTTCCCACTTTTTTAGTACTCTTCCCCTCCTTTCTATGGGTTATTCAGCACCTTGGGCTGGGCAGGGAAGCGCTGAGAGCATGTCCAGCTTTGGCTGCTCTCAGAGCTTTTGAGTCAGCAATGTCTGCTCTGGTTGAGGAGATGCCTTCGGCTCCACGACTTCCTCCCTCCTGGATTTTCACTTACTCTGTCACTTGCTGGGCCAAGTGGCAGCAAAAGCCATGGCTGGGGTGGGGCTGTCCCTGAGGAAGAGGTGGGTAGGAGGACTTGGAGAGCCATGAATGCAAAGCCAATGAGCCAAAGCCAATAATGTTCACAGGGATGCAAGCGCTGGGGCCTGGGAGCCCGACTCCTTCATTGTGTGCTCCTTGGAGATGGTGATGGCTGACTTTTCCCATCATAGGGGAATGATGGTTGTAGACCAGCCCCAGGCTCTACTACATGTCCTGGTTGTACTGGTGATCCAAAGAAAACGCTTCAACAGCAATACCAGAAGCCTCAAACAAGGCCAGTGAAGGTTAATTTGTAGGTCGGTAGGTTCATGATGCAGTTATGGAGCAGCTTCTGGGATTTTAGGTCCTTTTCCAGAGCTTTTCTGAACAATCAATTAAGCCCTGAAACTTCTAGCATCTCTGTCCAGTGTAGATGTTCCTTTCATTGGTATCCAGCATCTAGCTCAAATCTTTGGGTCTCTTACATTCCTGTCCTTTGTAACATAGACATATTTCCACTGTCTGATGATGCTTCAGGTAGGCATGTGTATGGAGGGGATCTTTTCCTCCAGTTCTGGGAACCTCTTGGGCAGCAAACTTTTGATTGATAGAGCCATTGGATTAAGAACTGCTTCACTGCCCACATGGTATTTTACTCTGTTCTTATGGAGGTACAAGTGAAGTGCTACCTTTTCTGCTCAGAATCTTTCAATTGCCCAAACTTTGGTATCTTTGAAGATACCACGGCTACTCTGAAGCTAAATGCAAATACCATACAGGAAACCGTTAAAAAATCAATGGCTTAATGAAACAATGGAGAAGAATTATGGAGACCTTTGCATCTGCTTTGCTTCAGCTATACAGAGTTTGCTGTCAAGCTGCTCTAGACTGTAAAGGTGAAGATGTGGGAGTTGTGACTGGTCACCTACTTTCTAGTTCATTTACAGACTGAAGCTTCTCCAAACTGTTGTGAAGAATGTGGCCAAAGGGAGAATATGAATTCACAGCTTCTGGGCTGTTTTTATATCCAGACTTCTTATGAAAAGCTTTCTATGCATGATTAGCTAATAGGAATCAATGCACTTCAAGAATATTACAGTTCTGGGCAGGCCACCACCCCAAAGTTCAGCTACCTGCCAGAGGATGTACATGTACTTGGAAATAGGGTGGCTGAGCAGTTATTTGGCAGCACCAGCTTCTATGTGGGACAAGCGTGCCAGGACAGCTGTGTTTAATAACTTTGTTTGGCCCCTTATGCTTTAATTCCAGACAAAGCTTGGGTTAAAGCAAGGAACAGTCCAAAACATTGATCAGTCTCACTTGCATCTGTGGCCTCACCCTTGCCAGTCAGAGCTGAGCGTCCTCTGGGGTCACTGGGCTGAGGTGGCTGAGAGACGCTGGGTTTCATAAGGGAGAAATGGTCCAGCTCTCTTACGGCTCTGAGAGTATTCTGGCCTTTCTCTGCTATTAAAATGCTGCTTCAGAGCCTTCTTGTCTCAGTGGCTGGAAATTTGCTGGTAATTCTCTTGCTAAAATGACTAAAAAGCTATACATCCCTATTCTTTTCTAAACAAGCGTTGTTCTTCTATCACTTCCATTACTTGTCCCTTCAACCCAGATGGCGTGTCCTCGGGACCCCATTTTTTCTACAAAAGACGTCACAAACTTCCAGTCTGTATGCCTTATGACATCAAAGCATCCCACAAGCTCTCGGCAGGACGAAGCAGCACTCTGTGACAGAATGGTTGGTGACATTTTGCACTGGGACGAAAGGGACGTGGAGGTCTGTTAGCTACAGGTGTCTTCAGTGGTGATCTATGCATTTTCTCATATTAAGGTAGATTTGCTTTCTATCTTTTTGCTTGTGTTTTACGCGTGTGAAATTACCATCCAGTGCTTCCTCAGACTGCTGTTCTGCAGAACTGATGTTATCTCGTTCATGGTACGAAGGTGCAACCTGGGCTGGGGTGGCACTGCTGGAAGTACAGCAGTCCTTTTGTGGATCTACCCTGTGTGATCTGCCCCGGGGCATAAAGGAAGCGTTTAGTGGAGCAGAAACAGATCCAGGATGTGACAGATCAGAAGTTGACCTGGGCAGGCTGAGAGCTGGGAGGAGAGGAACTTGGTGGGGTTCAACATGGGCAAATATTGGGCCCTGCGCCTGGGGAGGAACAACCACAGTGACAGCACAGGGTGGGCTGCTGGAGAGGAGCCCTGTGGAGGACGTGGGAGTCCTGGTGGCCAACAGTTTGTTGATGGTTGACCAGAGATTGACCACGAGCTATCAGGGTGCCCTGATGGCCAAGAACTGCTTTTGGGGAGGTTGGACTGGATGATGTCCAGATGTTCCTTCCAACCCCTATAATGTTGGGATTCTATCTTGCAGAATCCCCTTTCCTCCTAACTTTGCCTCCCTTAAGAAGGCAAGCTCTCCCAAGGTCATAGAATCACAGAATCACAGAATGGTTGGATTGGAAGGGACCTCAAGGATCATGAATCTCCAACCCCCTGCCACACGCAGGGCCACAAACCTCCTCATTTAATGCTAGACCAGGCTGCCCAGGGCCCCATCCAACCTGGCCTTGAACACCTCCAGGGATGGGGAACCTTTAGGGATGGAGGAATGCCTTTTAAACTCTCTGCCTGGAGACCACAGTGGGGCAAGTGTATGTGCAAACACTCTCCAAAGTTGTGCGTGGCCAAGCTTGCAGCAATCAGCGACTTTCTGCATGTATAGAATAGACACTGAGGAATGGTAGAGTGGAAAAAATTAACTGTAGGTTCCACAAGTTTGCAGTTGTCAAAAGCGAGGCCGAATCATGTGCCTTGGCTGGGAGACGTTACTCCTTTAAATTCTCCTTCGACATTAATTAGGAGTCCCTTACATGACCTTGGAGATGATAGTTTTCCCCCTTCCAAACTGTATTTAATGAAAAATCCTGGCTTGCCAGGTGGGTGACTTTTCCCAGGATCTCGCAGCACTCGGATTCGTACTGATGAAAACCTCTTAAGCTTCACGAGAGTTTAGATCCAAGCCGTGCTCTTTTTTTTTTTTTTTTTTCTTTAATTTCCCATGATTTTCCATTCCGAGAACTATCCTTCTGAACATATTTATTCCAGCTTGTGCAGTTCAAGGGCCCAGAATTTGACACAACCCCTTCTACCTTCCAGATGCTTGTCAGAAAGGGGCTGCTATTCTACCTCCTGAGGGTTGTATTTTACAGCACAGGGTGTGCCTCCCCATACAATTTAAATCAGCAATAATTAGGGGAGAGCTCTGGATATACCAAAGCAGGGCAAAAAAGGCTGTCCTTGCCTTTTACTCTCTGAAATGAGACATTTTCCCTGTCAGCCGTTGCCTGAGTTCTCGGTGCTTCTCTATGCAGCATTCAGATTCAGGGGGAGAAAGAGGAAATTGAAGTATATGTCGAGTCTCCATGAACGCCAGCCAACGTCTGCATCCTACCTAAAACGAGCAGTCTCGAAAGCGTGACGCCAAATCTGCTCTTTTTCCTGCCTCTGCCACTCTTGCTCTCTAAGATGGCTTGGCTGAGAGACAAATTTTCCTTGCAGTCAGGAAAGAAAGAAAAAAATCAGCAACAGGAGCAGTTCAGAACGAGCAGCATAGAGCCCTTCTGGGCTTGGGGCAGTGCATCACCACATGGGTGAGCTCCCATCCTTGGGCCCTCCAGCAGTGGGGGGCAGCCCTGGGGTGTGTGGGGCTTCGGTCAACATCAGGAGGGGGAGAGACCTTTGGGGGTACCTCTGTTTGCTGCAGAGCTCTGATAGCACCGTTGGCTGTTTGCATGAGCTGGAGAGGTGCCCAGAGATGGGGGGAGGGAAACTGGTGGAGAAACAGAGCTGTAAAATTGTAAAATACCCCATGCTTCAGATTGCAGCGGCAAAATTATTAATATTTAAGATTTGAGAGGTCTGGCTAGGAGGTTTGTCCTAACAGAAAGAACATTCCTTGCTACTAAAAGCTACCAGCCTGTGATTGCTTCCAGCCCCCACTTCTGAGCTGTGATAGCACTGAGTGATAGCACTCAGCTCCACCAAAAGACATCAGTTGATGGAACCATGGCACCAAACATTGGAATGACTGTTTTCTTCACCTTTTTCTTCTCTTTTTTACTTTTTTTTTTTTTTTCTTTTCTTCTTCCTGAAGGTCCAGTCTTTGCAGCCATTAGGCATAGACTCATAGAATCATTAGGGTTGGAAAGATCACAAAGATCATCAAGTCCAACTATTAACCCAGCATCACCACTAAACCATGTCCACATCTCCATCTGAATGTTCTCTAATTGTGATTGTAGTCAGTAAATCTTCTGTCTGACCTGTCCTAAATTGTGCTTGCTTCCCTATTGGAGTCCCTTGTGCTCTCTGCCAAGATCCAACTGGGTCTCCTTTGCCGAGCTGCAATGCTGCCCATGCTCTGTAAGCAAACACATCCTCTTCTAAACTATCATAAAATTCTAGTTGGCCAACACCCAGCTTTCTGTTGCTTTCTTCCCAGGGGATTATGTCCAGGTCAGGTGTGAGGTCTGATTTCCTTAAGATGGCCTAGGTGGGTCAAGCCTCATCTGTAGCTCATTCTGTCTGATTATGCTTTCATGCTGAAATTCAGTTTGCCTGGCTCATCTTCATCACAGTGGATTTTGGGCAGAAGTGTCAGTTATGTAGTTTTGGACAATTTTAGGGGGAAAAAAAAAAAAGCCCCCAAAAAAGTAGGATTACAAGTTACCTTTATAAACATCTGAACTAAGGAGAGTTGCTCTGGTGTAAAAGTAAATGCTATTTATCAGAGGAGAGATTAAAAAAAAGGGGAGGCTTCATAAAAGAGTGGGACGGAGATGAGGGCAGCCTGCATGGGGATATGCATCGTGTGATCATAGAATCACTGAGCAGCTTGGATTGGAAGGGATCTCAAAGATCACGTAGTGCCAATCCCAGTGCTACAGGCTGCTTGCCAACCACTCAGTCGAGCACCAGGTCATGTTGCCCAGAGCCCCACATCCAGCCTGGCCTTGAGCTGTCTGCATTGGGTGTCCAACATGAAGCACCCTTCTGATGTCAGACCCAAAAGGGATTGATTCTTCTTGCCCACACCTTCATTGCTAAGAAAGGAGAGCTGGAAGGTAGTTTTCTGGTCACTGTTAAGCTGATGGAAAAGTTGAGTTTGCTTTGGAATGGCACAAAGCCACGATGGGGGAGGTTGAGATTGGATATCAGGAGAAGTTTTACACCGAGGGAGTGGAGCCTTCCCAGGGCAGTGGTCATGGCACCAAGTGGCTGGAATTCAAGAAGTGTCTGGACAATGCTCTCGGACATAGGGTCTGATTTTTGTGTGGTCCTGCGTGAGTTTGGACTCCATGATCCTTTTGGTCCTTTCCAACTTGGGATGTTCTAAGATTCTGTGGTTTCCCTTGCTTCTAGCATAATTCCCTAGCCCATTTCACCCCATCTGATTATCCTCTATTTTTTTTCTTAAGAAAGGAAGCACCTAAAAGTAGCAACACTGGATGAGCTTATGTCTGCCATGAAAAGCAAGGACAGCCTGATGGCCTTCATACTCATTTGCCACTGATCAAAGTGAAGCTCCTAGGAGCCCACATCCATCCAAATATGATCTTTGTTAGGCTACTGAACCTCACTGTTGGCCACAGGTCACAGGGCTTGGCTGCCAGCGGGACTGGGTCAGAGTGTGTAGGAGCAGAGCCTAAATAAGCATTAAATAGGAGCAAATGTTAACAGCCTTCCTGCTCTTTTACTTTAGAGAGAATCCTGAAGCAGACCTTTGAGTTGCAAACATAAGCAATAGAGATTTTCCCTCTCCACGTTCTGGCCAGTATTGGGTCCAGCCAAAAAGATACCTCCAAGAGAATTAATCCCTGGATTTGCTTAAGACTTTGTGCATCGTGGAAAGGGCCCAGTGGAGAGATTTACGGCGAGCAAGTCGCTTTTGTCCTCTCAATGCCAATTTCAGAGCTTTAGTACTGGAGAGTTGTGTTATTCACAGCTTCCTTGGAGCTCGTTGCTGAATTGCCACTGTAATGGCTCCGCTCCTTTTAATGGCCTATGGCTGGGAGTGTTGTGAGAGTGAGAAGCAGAGATTTTGGGCCCAGAATTATTGCTCTGGCAACAAAGTGACCACCAGCAACAACTGAAATTGCAAAATGAGCATTTCTAGGAAAAAAAAAAAATCCATCACGGTGTCAACTCAGGTTGGGCGGTTACAATTGAAACTAAAATCCTGTTCATCTGAACTCCCTAGACAAAAAAAAAAAAAAAAAAAACCAACCCACCAACCACCCCCCAAAAACCTTTTGAAAGATGGACATTTGTAGGCAGGAATGTCTCTTCTGAGTCATGTAAGAGTGGTCTTTTAGAAGCTTGTTCCCTTGTCTTTCTCTCTGCTGTTTTGCACCTCCCATCTCTTTGAGCTGCTGGAGAGCACCAGAGGAGCAATAGTAAGAAAGAGAGACTCTGGGACAGTTGTAGGAGGAACCAGACTTGTGGGGAGACTGCAGCAGCCATAGAGCACTGCTGCTGCCTCTTTGAATCCAGCATTGCAAACATGAGTTAAGAAAGATTTTGTTTGTAGACCAGAATCACTTTATGCACCCATAATAAGAAAGACTCTTGACATGTGGAGCTGGGATGTT